TTGGTGAACAGTGATTGATTCCCTCTTTGTTCACAGTGGCTAAGTTCTGCACCTGAGGAGAGCATGACCCCGACGAGCAGACAAAAGGAATACAATGAACGTGTGTAAAAGACACATGGAAAGACAAGGAGTGTGTTTTTGAGTGGCCACTGTGTGCTTTTGCTGAGTTCAATTATCTAATGTGTGTTTACACATTTCAGTCACAGAACTACTTCGCCTTTGTCCTTTTTGTGCCCCTTATTTGATTGCCCTGCGTCCTCGTTCACCTTTCTCTTATCTAATAGCGCTCCTGTCCTCCCTCTCTTTTCATCCCTTCCTTCCTTCCTTATCCTTTCCTTCCTCGGTCTAAAAAGCTCTTCTCTCTCTCTCTCTCTCTGCAATTCTCACTTGCCCGTCTGTAAACTTTCCACTGAGACCCTCTCACTCAGAAGAATTAAACACACAAGCCTCTTCACACTTTTGAAAACGCCATGAAACATCGCTAATGAGCACCGCACTGTGAACGTCTGTGTTGTCTGTTGTTCTGCCTCTCGTCTTTCATCTTCCTCCCTTTTGCTCTCGACTTCCACCTCCTCTGCTTCGGTCTCCTTTTTAGTCATGTAGTGGGAAAGATAATCCTGCAGACGATTCAGGCTGCACACTCTGTAGTTTACGTGAAGGTGAGAGACGAGAAGCTTTTTTTTTTCAGAGAGACTGTAGTTTCAGTACTAATGAGGCCGTAGGACACAAAACTCTGCTTAATGCTGCTGACAGGTATGTAATCACTCTGGATGCAGTGATAAAGTCATAGTTCTGTTTGCTTAGTTTGCATTTTGGAAGAATAGTTTGACATTCAGGTAGATGAGATTTTGATGAAAAGACTTTAGGGCCTTTACTCATTTTCATAAGAAAGAAAAATCTTTCATCGATCTTTATTCGGCCCCCTTAACTCTTATATCTGAAGAAACAGGATACCAGGTGGACAATCTTCCCCCTGAAAAATCACTTAAGCCCTTTTCACAGGGGGAGCTACATGTGTGAACTAAAGTGACTACATTTTTCACCTTCCACTTTATCCAGTCCTGCAGGCCTCTTAGGAATATTTCCACAAGAAGTCGGGGTGAGCTGATGTGTGAATACAATTAAATACAATAAAATTCCCCCCAGAGAGTGGGTGGGTGGGTGGGTGGGGGTGATGACGTTTATATATCCTGCTACCAGTCAGTCTCGTCTCTACTCAACAGCATGCACTTTGCCCACTCTTTCATTGTTATTGAGAACACATCCAATTACATGTAGCTCTGATAGAAAAGCACAAACTGACATCACAGTGTCCCTAATCGTGGATATACTGTAAACATTACACGGTGACTTTTGCAGCTCTCTTTTGACGCCATGTGTGGTCCCATCCTCTCCCGTCCGACAGGTGAAAATCTCTCTCCCCCTGTGAGGGTCGTGTGTGAAATAGGAATTTCAAGTGCGGACTTCACTGACATTTTCCGTCGTGCTTGTGTGAAAAAAGGGCTCTTGTGAGTTCTTCTAGTTGGAAAAAGAACATAAAAACTGCAAGATGTGTTTACAACAGACATCAAACCTAATTCAGCATTTCTGTGACAACATTTCATGTGACTTTTCAGCCAGCATATGATCCAAAACTGCTTTATCTGCTTTGAGATGGTAATCTTTGTATTAGTCTAGTGCTAGTCTTACATCAGCTGATGCAACATTAGCTACACTTAGCATTAAAAACTAGAGACGGCGGTAACACACACAACGACATAACGTGCAAAATAAACCTTTGACATTGTGAAAAGACAAGTATATAGATTATAAAGGTTAACAAGAATTATTCTGTCCACAGTCAAGAAAGTCAACCGGCAGAACCTCAAATGTTCAATAATAATAACACTTTATCATGTAGTGGTGAGTTACAAGTGTTACAGTTTTAGCAGCAGATATGTTTGTAACTGTGCTTTGACTGTCTGTCATTCTGTCTGATGATGAGAGAGAATGTTTTCTACAGCTTTTCCTTTCTCTTAAAGGTTTAGATGAGATACTGTTTGGCAAGTCCCGCACACAATCAGTGCTCCAAATCTTCTTTGAAGTACTTAAAGTGCTTCAGATTTGAACTTTAAATCACACTGTCCGTGCATCTCTGGCTAATACGTATTGATTTCTGATCTAATCTCAGCCTGAAGAAGAAAATAACGGAAATCCATAAAGCATACAGATTCTCACAGGACACATTTGCACAGTGTGAAGGAAAACACAAGACTGAGGCGCCAGATGAGGAATATCTTGCAGCAATCTGAGAGCTTTCCATCAATTATGGATGTCACTTTCACTGAAATGGGACAATTAAGTGTTTCTACGGTGGATTTACTGCCCAGTGTACGTCTCGATTATTTGTCTCAGACAGGAGACACAAAAGCAGTGATCGTGTAAAACACCCACTGATGACTGGAAAAGCAGGGACAGTAAATTGGGTTTTCAGCACACGCTCCGTTGGAGGCATTACAGAGCGCACTGAGTGAGGGTTCCCAAATTAGTCGAGATAAGCTTTAAACAATGCCGCCTGCCAACTGCCTCTGCCAACACAATGATCAATAACTCTCAGTCCGTCCCGCATGTCCCAAGAAAAGATTTGTTTAGGAAGTGTTGTACGACAAACTCCATTGACATCTTCCTTCCAGACAAAAAGCTTCTCAGAAGAACGACTCCGGCTTAGTGAGCTAATCTGCAAACGACCAAGCTGTCAATAACTGCAGCTGGTCTACGTGGACAGAAGAACGACTCAGACTTTAAATAAGTCTGCTAAGGTCTTCCATTATTCTTAACTGGAATGCAAAGCTATACCGTTTGGGACTTATCACTCCCCGATCAAAACAGTGACAGATGGGTGGAAATCTATCTCAGAACTGGTCAGTCTTTTTTTGGCGCTCAGAGCTTGAGCCGCGAGGAGGTATATTACATCGCTCTATATTCACGACGACAAAATGGCGACTAAACGAGGACAGATGTGTGAATTAGAAATGAGGGCCATGTGGAGCCTGCCATTTTTAGACCTATATTTAGGCCCTGTTAAAAGAGTAATGACCATCAAAGGCCTGTAAAAGAGAGGAATTGCCATCAGAGCACGTATCCAAAAGGTGATTTATTACACTCTAATGGGAGGGAAATGGTGCAGTGCACATCAAAGGACAAAGCAACATTGTATAGAGACACCAAAAATAAACTGATTCACCCCCCCCCCCCCCCCAACGCTACCCACTCATTCTCCTCTTCACGCAGCTAAACTTGACTGATTGTCTCCATGATGTAGAGCCTTTTCTTTTAGTGAGCTGCAGCATTTCAGAGTATTTGCTGGAAACTTTTTTCGTAATGCAGTATGTGTGCATGCTCGGCACAGAAGGTGAAGAAATGTGAATGTGTCGGATTTATGGTTACATTTTTATGATCACTCCTAAAATAGTCTAACAGCCTTTTTTTTTTTGTGCCAACCAATCATTCTGATTGTCTCCCGCTCTTTAGCAGTCCCGCTGACACTATAGTGGAGAGGTTTATACCATCGACTATATATATTATATACTGTATATATATATATATATATATGGACAACACGCCTCATCCTCTTTTTGTTTTGCAAATATGAAGCCAAAATACCCCTTTGACAGAAGCTGGCATTTGGAGCATTTGGAGTCAGAGTCTTCAAAGTAGTATTGACATCGCGCTACTTCTTCTAATCGAAGTGCAAATTTAACAGATAAAAAGATCCACAGTAGAACAGATTCATGAGTCGGTTTGAAGCAGACACTCATCGTTAAATGGCTCTTGTGTAGGCTGATTGCTAATCAAGCGCACACAGCGCCGCAAGAGTCAACAGAGCTGTCACATGGGATTTCATATGTTTTTATATTATCAAATAACTTTCTTTTCTTTTTTTTTTAAAACATCTCAGAAAAAAACATGACTGGAACACAAAATGGCGGGATCACGTCGATACTAGGTTTGAGAAAATACTTGATGCCTATTCTGAAAGTTTGATCTGGGTCCCATCTGTTAACATGGAGGAGGCGGGGTTTATGACTTTTGGCTTCACTTGAGTCAAGGTGTTTTGCTGTCCATTCTTTATTCAGTCTATGTTTTCTGTCACACCTTTAACCGCCTCGTGAAATCAGACAATCTGAACAGCGCAAATGAACCGACAGTTGTTTGTTTTCTTGGTTTGGCAAAGCGGAACGCAGCCCGAGTTAGCATTGCTTTTTGCTTCATTACACACACTGCTAAAAAAGAAAAAAGGGGAAAAAATGTGTGTTCACTGCCAGCGAGTCCTTCACGAGAAGGAGACAGACTTGGGCTTGGCCTCCTGTGCCTACTGAGCTGATAATCAGTCCTACAGAACCACTGGCTCAGTTCAGCAGGAACAGGAGTCCGGTCCACTCACCACAGAACAAACAAACACCATGTCACTCTCCATAAAGCTGTCTTTCCCTTACACACACGAGCTGCTGTTGTATGGTTTAACGGAAATCTAAAGAGATTTATTCTGAAGGATGATTCAAATTACATCTTTTGAGTTTGATGTTTGGTTCCAGGAAGAGATTATTTCACTTTAAATGTACTAATTTATAATATCATGTTTGATTGCAATCCTTCATTTCTTTGAAAAAGAACTACTTCTTATTTTTATGAAATCAGTTGGGCCAGCCGCAGGCATATGCATCTATCCATATCAATTGCTGGAACATTTTTCAAATACTCAGGAGGAAATTGCCACAAATTAAATTACCAACAATCCGGTATTTGTAAATCATTTTGATTTCTTTGTATTTTTTAGGGTTTTCCAACTAACAGCACGAAAAAGGGAAATAGATGCTGATACTGTTTGCTGTTATGTGAGACATACTGTCAGTGTCCACAAGATGGCACTGACAATAATAGTTTTCAATTGTAAGATGTTTCTTTAACCATGTGCTTATTCATCATGTTTAAGAGACCAAATGTTGTCAGTTGGTATCCAACTCAAAAACCCAGCACAGGTCGGGTTCACTGTGCTCGAGGCCACAACGACGTACAGACCAATTGTCCTGAGCTGAACCCACAGTATTCAGTGTTAGCCTTTATATAAAGTGTATACCGACAGTTCAGCCAGAGGACTTAGGATATCCACCAAATGTTCTTCAGTGCTCAAATCTCTGCGTATCTTTCTATTCCAGGCGGCTGATTACGGGCGGAGAAGACAGGAGTTTGGCTCAAAGGATGGACGAGGGTCCAGCTCGTCTTCCTCAGAAGAAGAGGGGATGCTGCAGAATCGCTCAGCAGTGTGAACACCACGAGGATGTGCTTTTACTCCACAGCCAAGGCCAACTGGCAAGTTGTAAAGCAGCAGATGTGTTCATTCGAAGCTGGAAAAGAAATCGCTGGTGCTACAAGCTGTTTGTAGTGAGGTACAATGTTGTTGACTACGCTGCGGCTTTCAAATGATTCTGATCTTCTCACTGGTTTAAAACTGATAGATAACAGGATAATAAGGATATTTCATGGATGGGGTTTTCACCATGCCAGATTTTAAACTTCAACATGATACTGGTAAAATTCAAACGAAAACAAAACCTGTTTGGGTAAAAGCGGCAGAAAGAGTCCTAGGCAGCTAATATTCAGACATTTCTTGCTTTTAATCACCAAACATTGCAGGCAAGCTTCTGCACGCTGTTTAAATGTCATGAACACTGAAATATTATCAACCTATCTGTGTCATTCAGACAGTGCTCGCTCTTTCTCTGGTGGCAGACTGAAGAGCTGTAGTTTTTTTTTTCTAAAGCTTTGATACTTTTTCTCTAGTATTGTTAAAAAGAAGAATGGAGTTAGTATCATATCAAAACACGTGCTATTAAAAAGTAGCCATGTATTACAAATCTGACCACCTTATACATGCATATAGAGGGAGAAGCTGCATTCATGTTTAAGAACCTGAGCTGTTGTGTGTGTGAGTGTATATATGTGTGTGTGTGTGTGTGTGTGTGTGTGTGTGTGTGTGTTCACATCTGTTTAGTCTGAAGTCATGTTCTGTTTCTTAACAGTTTAGACTGGACGTACTCTTTCAGGCGAGTCATGGTTCAGACAGATGACATCACTTCAGCCTGTAATAACACTGTAGTGTAAATGTAAATGAATTGCTTTTTGCAACTTTTGTATTTTTGTAAACTTTTCATGTTTGTTTAAATGTAAGCACAAATCTTTGATATTTTCATGTCAAATAAAATAAAAATTATATCTCATGAAATCAGTGTGTGTCTTTTCTGTCAGCTTATTCGACCACAGGAGGAGTACAAACCTTATCTTCGTTATATATCTATTATCTCTGAGTTCTATTCAACTGGGTGCAAACATCACAGACACATTCTCATTTCCAGGACGCCTCTGTTGCTGCTGTTTTACATCGGAGACAAAAATGAGAGTGAAATCCAACTTTAGTTATTTTTCACATACCCAGAGCAGAAAAATGGATGTACGCCTGTAAGAGTTCAGACGGATGTTGGTCGTGTGTATCCTACTCTAGTAAACTTCAGAAGTTAAACAATCTTTTTAGGTATTGTGCTTCTTTTGCATTGGTTTACACTTTTCTTAAGGTTACAGAAGGCAGTGGAGAATAAATGTACCCCGTCAATTACCGTATGTCTGATATAAAACTTTAGGTCCGGCTGTGCTTTTAAGGGTGCCAAAGAAGCAGCTATAACCTACAAACATTAGACTGAGTTCTGTATCAATCTGAGGGATGACATCGTTGGTCTGGGACCTAAAAAGAATGAAACTCTGGTAACTGCTGCATCTATAGCCCTATTTTTGGCTCTTGCACAAATCTGCATGATCATCAAATTTAAAACTAACACATCATGAACCAAAAACAAAAGACGGGCACCGGTACCTAGTGGTTGGTGCGCACACCATGTATGGAGGCCACTGTACTCCAAGCAGGTGGCCAGGGTTCGAATCCAACCTATGGCTCCTTTCCTGCATTCCCCAAGTTCTCTCCCTGATTTCTGACTCTATCCACTGACCTATCTTTAAATAAAATCATAAAAAGCCCCAATGTAAATCTTAAAAAAAAGAGAAAACAAAATATTAAAGATCCCTGTTTAAGAGTAATTTGAGAATTTAATCATTTTTGCTTTGGCACCAGAAAACATGTAGATATTACAGCCTCCATTTGAATTTTTTCTGTAAATCTCTAGCAAGAGTCAACGAGTAATAAAGTATGTGACACATAAATATAAGCAGGGTAAAAGTCATTTTCAAGAAGCAGTAGAAAATGTTCATCAAGAAAGACGTGAAATTCAGTTTATTTACATTTAAAAGTATACTCAGTGCTGCAACATTTTTATTCATATTCACATATTTGAGCACAAAGTGTAATAATCCAGAGATAACTGCTGTTTGGTTGTCCCATCCTCTAAACCTAAATGCCTTTCAGTCAGCATGTGTAGCGTGAAGGATTTATGTTGTGAGACAATTATGTGAGTGGGAGGACTGTGACACGCTGTACGAGCTGCTGCTTCTTTGCAGTGTGATCTGTCACTGCTCAAGTGTCCTTGTGGGCCTTGTAGTCGTGTTTTGTGTCTGTGCGTATAATTGCTGCCTCTCCAAATAATCTGTCCTCGCCGGGCTGTTTTGACACACTCCTGTCATTGTACCGCAGCATATCTACACAATAGGCGCGGCTATTTGTCATTCTGCAAAGGTGTCTGGGAGAAAAACCCTGAGCTGAGGATGAACTCACTGATGTGTGGTTCTCTGCATTAATAAGTGTGTGTGTGTGTGTTTGTGTGGGGGAGGGTATGCACTCTCACCTGTTTTTAGAGTGTGAGTGTGTGTGCTTGGTTCTCAGCAGGGCTCGATGCTGCCTGCGTATGTGTTAGTGTGTTTCTAAGAGCTTTGATCCTGAGATGAACTCTGTTAGCAGCGCCTGACGAGCAGCTTCCTCCGTTCAGTTTGAGCTCCAGTGAGCTGAGAAGACTCGCTGCTTCATCAGCCAGACCAGAACCCTCCACCACCTGGATGCACACACACACACACAAATACAAAAAGATATATCGGTTGTAACAGTGCAGAAAAAAATGACTAAATTGGTTTATGATAAGGCATTATTTGGAACACTAAAGAAAAACATCCTTTAAGATGAATCAGGACTTTAAAGGAACAGCAAACAAGACAACTTCAGACATGTAATTACAACTTTTTTTATATCGTGCCACCTCCCAGAACAACAGCAGATACTACTGGCAACATGACTGCCAGTGCATTTCTACTTACCTTACTTTTGTAACTGAACTTATCATACTTCTATTGCTGTTCTATTTGAAGGTCCTGTTTCTGTGTGTTTACCTCACACTTAACAGTTGTCTTTTATTTCACTTGTGTTTGAGGCTCTTTTTGTTTAGCTGTAGTATTATATTGGAGCTCTGTGGTACTATTACTTCCTTCAGGATGAATAAAGTTCTGTCTTATCTTATGTCATCTTCAATGAAATGTTAATTGGAGAATTAAACTTTTTTTTGGCCTGGTATATATTTTACTCAACATTATCATATGAGATGGAGGTGTTCTGCTGTGTTCTGACTTGGTTTTGTCGAGTATGTCTGTCAGTGCATCAATCTAATTACATAACTGATTAGCCTGAAAGAATCTCCTCATGTCACATTCACAAAAAACGAATGACGCTGTTAGTCAAAACTAGCTAATGTTAAAATCAGTGTTTTTTCAATCAAATTATAGTTTTTTTGATTGCATAAGGTTTGGAGGGGAGATCAGTATCAACCCATACTACTCAAGTCTACTTCGTTTTACCTAGAAGCAAAAAAGGAAGTCAGAACATGTTTTATATAAACATTAAAGTCATTTTACATGTTCAAGTTCCGCCAAAAAAAAAAAATTAAAATAAACTAAAAAATATCCATGCTATTGTTTCTTTTTATTTAATTTTCCCCACACACCTAAAACGGTGTTCAAGTTGTGGATGTAGTCATGATGTGCATGACTCTCTTGCCATGTGTGAAATATGAAGTTAGAAATATCTAGAAAACAGACGATAAGTAAATTCCTCACCGTCTGTAAAATCTCTGCTGATCCATTCAGAGCTAGTTGGGAGAAAACAGCAACGTTGACTAAGAGGCTGAGGATCAATACTGTAGGCGGTGATGGCTGCTGAGGTTGTGGTGACAGCAGAGTGACCAGTGCCTGCAGGCGCTCCTCAGGAGGAGGGCCAGGTAAGACCAAAAAAACGAAGCGCAGGTGTTCCCATGCTTCAGTGGCACGTACCTGGAAAATAACAGGTCACATGATTGTCTAATGTTAGCAGAAAGATGTTTGTTTATAGACCACAACGAAAATCAAGAACGACTTTTTAAAGTCTCTTTCCTCCAAATAGAAAAATCAATATAATAGTATTTCACAGATGCGGAACAAAGACAACCCCGTGCGAGTAGGAAGGAGAGATAGTAATGGAAGAGATGGCAGCAAAGACAGCGAGTCTCCGAGGGTTATGAGAGGAGGCGGACAAACAGGAGACAGAGAGATGAAACTCAGGCCAGCTGGCCAGACACTCACTGAGAAATCAATACAACATCACCCTCCTCACCCTGCTCCCCTCCTTCATCTGTATCTATCTCTCTCTTTTCCACTGCCTCATTCTCTCCTGGTCCGATGGGAGGTCATCCATAATTTATTAGTCAATGTGTTATTCTTCTTTCCCATGATTTGTTCTATGGCTTTCCATGACAACTGACCTGTCAAGAGCAAATGACCACAAAGCGTCCACGCTGTCGTGTTGTTGAGTGATGACACTGAACCGTCTTTAGACAGACTGGCCTTATACCTCGAGTTTTCACAACATCAGAGTTTTAAACTTTGATATGCTACTAGTAAAAATCTAAAATGATCAATACCTGTTCAGATACCACAAGTCATAGACACTCAGTTTAGGCTATTTCTTTTTTGTAATTACCAAACAATGCAGCTTAACTCCTGCACACAAATAAGTTGCCAATGTATGAAACTTTGACAGTGCTCTCTCTCTTTGGCTCACGGAAGCTATTGGTTAAAAATAAGGTCAGAGAGCTGTACTTTGTTTTGTTTTTTTTACAGCTCAAGTCCTTTCTGATACCTATACCGTAAAAAAAACAGAGGAACAGAGATTGTTGACAGCCCTAAAACCTGCAGTTCTTCTTCTCCAGACATCGAGGAAGGAAACATCAAGTGTGTTCTTATTGTTCGGTGTTGTACTGACATCAGTATGTTAACAGCTTCACAACAATAGTTATAGCATGTAGATGATTAGCATGTTAACCACAATATTAGACACTTTTATTATTTTTGTGAGTTATAATCTCAAAGTACAAAGGACAGAAATTCAGGGTATACTTGAAAGTGTGAAGTACCCGGCTACCTGGTGATTGTCAATATGCTGACAAGGTACTGTCACTCAGGTTAGAGGTGTAGAAATGTGCATTAAAGGAAGCTCCACCCACTCGTTGATATTGGTCATGTAACATGTTGAAGATGTAAAAACACTAAACTTATGTCCTATTCTAACCAATAGGTGAGGTCATGGTGGCTACAGTCTGTTCTGAACTACAGCAGTGGACCTACCGACAACGCCACAGTCAATGCGGTAGAGAAAATGTGCAATCAAAGCTAAAATAAGCATGTTTTAAAATAAGATTGAAGATCACCCATCGTTTTAAAAAAATAAAAATCTTACAAGCTGCTGTGCTCTGTGGTGCCCCCTGTTGGTGGGGTGGTGGTAGAACGTCAGCAGCCACAGGAGGGGGCCACCGTCCTCAGGCCCGGGTGTCACCAGCAGCTGGACAGCCACCTGCAGCCAGTGCGCACACTGAACCAGCAGGAACCAGGCCTCAAACACTGTGTGGTGCCCCCTACAGGACAGGAAGAGGAACACGGCTCATTATTGCAGATAGAGAGCTGGATGAGCTGGCTTTCCAGATGGAGGATAAAGAAATAATAAAGACATTAGCACATGTGGCAGGATGAAAAGTAATGTTTGATTACAATAGGCATAACAATGAATTCTTGAACTTGGAAACACAAGATTGGGCCACAAATTTGTCATCACAATCCAGATAGATGATTTTTGCAGAACTTTCAGTTGCATCTTCCGCCATTCATCAGCAGATAGGGTGTCACAAATAACTCAAAGTGACAACTCATGAAGATGAAATGAAGTACGTCAATGTCGGCTGCAGAGATTTGGTAAAATGCTCTGACAAAACAAAGCAAGAGGAACCTTTTGATACACATTTTATGTTCCATCATTTTTTCCAACTTCAACTCGTACCCAATTTCCCAAAGTCTACCAGAATAACAGTTCTTTATAGGGGGCTGAATATTTATAAACAAAGATTAGTTTGGTGGTCTCATCAAGTCTCTAAATAGCCTGGTGATTACAAATCCCATCATCAGTGTTTCCAAGGAATGTTTGTGAATATATACAAAACTACTGTTGTAAAATAAAAATGGTCATAAAACCCAGGAAGGTTTTAAAGAAGTCCTTAAATACATTCCAGTGAATTAACATGACCACTGTTTTTCACGGTTTCCAGTGCATCACACAAACCCTCTCATAACAGGAAGGGAAATTTACATCACAAGAGCTTAGTTAATGAGACACTGTTTTGGGGGTATAAGACCCGCCTCCACTGACAGGAACAATGTCTGATCAAAGAGAGACAAGCTTCTTACACAGATCTGATCCAGAATTAGAAACTGCATCTCATTAGATATTCCCAGTTGTGACATCGACAAGTAATGATTCATCCCATAAAAAATGTAGATAACAGTTGATCAATAATGAAAATATTGTTAGTTGCAGCCCTGAAGATGAATAAATGGAGACAAAGAGGAAGAGGGAACTTAAGAGTCATGAATTACTGTAAGATTTTTTATTTTTAAAAGGGGGGAGAAGAAACTGAGCCGCGCAGCTGCAACAATGAGACAACGACTTGAAGATAAAGAATCGATTTGAGTGTCTTTCTCGTATTTCCCTAATACCATCGTTAGAGCTGTCTTCCTCATCTCCCCTCTCTCGCCATGGCTCCTTGAACGCCCTGCTGCAGGGCCGCTGGCAGCTGCATCTTTACTGGGAGCAACACAACATACTACTTTCCCACCGCTGGCTCAGAACAATGTTTTGGGAATTTTGCACGGAGCTCCAAAATGAAGCGGCGGTTGAGATAATGGGCTCGTTAAAAAAACCGCAGCTGTAGGGTATCAAGTCAGCCGTCTACATATCTACGACATCAACGGGTTTGAGCTTCTTATCTGCATGCTCTATCCTCTTTTTCTCTTAATCCGTCAAACCTAGGATGTTTAATTTCTGCTTTTATGTATTTCATGCTAATTTGGTATCTTTTTTTGGTTCTTCTGCTACATTCCTTTTCGCACTCTTTTTTTTTTTGGACGTTCCAACACGTATTTTCTCCAAAGCTCCCTCTCTTTCCCAAGCTAATAGTCTCTAATGAGCGCTTGGACGAGCCACAGAGCGCACCAGGACCTCTCTGCTGTGATACGAGGGGAAAATATCTGACTAACCAACCCCTCGACAGCAGCTCATGGAAATAAGAGCACCACACAAGCATTGGGTAGGATGATGGAAGCGGACAGATATTAACACATTCTCTTTCTCACTCTATACTGGCGCTACTGCTGCTGTCTTCATCTCCCTCCTCCTCTTCTTCTTCTTCTGTCAGTCTCTGTAATGAGCGACTGAGCCAGTTCAGGTGACGTCTCCAAGCATCCTCAGGCATCTCTGCAAGAACACATTCAGACAAACAAACACAATGAACACTTGTAGATCATATTTAGATTGTAGATCATACACAGATCATTTATATGAACAATATTCAAAGCCTACTAAACCTAAACTAAATGTAATAGTTCGACAGCATGGGAAATACATTCAGCATCATTCATTCATTCTTTTAGATGAGAAGTCGTGCCAAGTTGCTGGTGAATTTGCTGACTGATGCATTCTCCCCATACATGCACGAGTTCTCTCTGGGTACTCTGGCTTCCAAAGACAACGCTCATTAGGCTAATTGATGATCCTTAATGGAATAGAATAGAATTACTTTATTGATCCCAAACTGGGAAATTGTGGCATTACAGCAGCAGGTTATCCAACACACAATATGAGTAAAAGTTTAGTTGCCTGTAGGTGTGACTGTGAGTGTTTGTTTGTCTCTACATGTTGGTCCTAGGATCAAATGGAGACCAGTCCATTGTGTGCCTTCACCAAATGACAGCTGGGATCGGCTCCTGTAACCCCGCGAAACAGGACAAGCCATATAGAGAAATGGATGGATGGTTGTTTGTAATACAAATGTGATGATGATTAGCTTAACACAAAGACTGGAAACAGGGGACATACATACTGTACATATTTGCTTTTGATGAATCCATAGACTGTATACAAAATGAACGTGTTCTCAGTGGCGTCACCCATTGCTTTCTTAAGTGGTCGGCTTATTGGAAATGCTAATACTAATTCTTAACCTGACACAGTAACTGGTTTGTCATGCAACCTTAAGTTGACATCAACACTTAACTCCAAGAGGTCAGAGCTCGCTGGTGTTGTATAAACTCTCAGATGTAAACATATTGGACAAAAACACCTTCTAAAGGAAAAGCAATAAGTTGTAAAATTGTAACATTGTCCTCCCACTAACCAAACAAACAAAATGTAATTTTTCACAGAGCTTCAACAATAATGATTATTGGTTCATTTCCAGTTATTTCCTTCATTAACGGTCATGAATCAGTAATGTCTCTTGAGTACCAAGGGAAGAAAAACAACAAATATGACAGCTATTGAGAAATGATTTGAATTTAAAAAGTCTGTTTTACACTTTGACAAACAATACCATATACACAGTTTTAACGCGTGGACCACATGGATGTTTATAGATAAATATTGTGACTTTGGACGGAGACAGAAGAATAGCATTTTCCTCCCATAGCCGATCTTTATTCTCAGCTAAGCCAACAAACAGCTTGTGATAGCTACAGAACAACTTTACGTATGACTGATTTTATTTCCGAGAATCTTAAACTATTCTTCTTAAGATGTATAATACTTCAACAACAACAAAAAAAAGGTGACTCAGTCCAGAGGGTAAACACAAGCAATTTAAGTTGAATCACCTTCAAAGACAACTTCATTAAAATCAGCCACAAGAATTTTCCAAGCAGAACTGGATCAACTACTGTTAGAACTTGAAAATTGCATCTTCCTGTTTTCCAGTTATTACTTTTAACAGCTTAAAGGGCCAGCATGGTGTTTCTCACATGGCTCATTGTTCAGCCAAAAATAACTTTCCTACCACAAACCACACTCTGCTCTAAAAACCCCGATCTAACTGACACTGCAGGCTGACGAACAAACTCTCACAAAAAAATATTCCAAGTGCTTGATATCTTGAACCGGTCTTCCCCTGAAGCCGTGTTTTAACAATGCAATCTTATCTCTTCGTTAAGGACTTTTTTTTCAGAAGGAGTGCAAATCATGATAAAACCTCATATCCTTAACTTTTCACAGAACCATTTCCGTTCAGGCTCTGGTGAAAAATTGCCCTCCACCGAACACATATACACGCACGCACGCACGCACGCACGCACGCACGCACGCACGCACGCACGCACGCACGCACGCACGCACGCACGCACGCACGCACGCACGCACGCACGCACGCACGCACGCACGCACGCACGCACACACACCCAGTAATAATTAACTCAGAGTTCTGGCTGAGCTCCAGTGTGTCCCTAAATGGCTCCATTCATGTAAATCATTGCTGTCCTACAGGCCAGTCTGGGCACACACTGATAAGCACTGCTCCGCTGTGCCCCTGCACTCACCTCCTCTACTGTGCATCCCTTTAATAAAACATTTTCCCACACATAAACATTGATCATACAAATCAAGTAAAAATGATCACGTAATACTCTCTATGAAAAGAATGAAAAGATGTGTTCTTCAGTTGATCAAGATGATGGTAAGTAGAACTATCTAAAGTATAGAATGAAACACAGTGTGCAGTGGAAACAGAAAAGTCCAGTGTGTGTTAATGTAACACATTATATCTGATACAGCCTGAACTTTCATGTAATGTCAGGTGACTTTAATAAGTTTGAACAAGCTAGTTATTTTGGATAACTGAACCCCCCAAACTTCTCTATAGATCAGAGTGTGTCAACTTTTACATCTGACATAAAATACAGAAGTCAGTTGTTAAAGAAATATAATTGATTAGCAAAAGTAAGAAACACAGGAGCCCATTCACTGTGCAGCAGGAAAACTCTGTTGACACAGAGTTAAAAAAAATACCTGACAGGACTGCGTCTCACAATGCAGGGTTTTGTGCATTCTCTCAGAGGGAAATATCCTGTGGAAGACACACTTTGGACGAGTGTGTATATAAGCACTGACCTGACGGCAGGGTCAGGAGAGGAACAAGCAGCCTCTGAGGTGACTGTGGGAACCAGGCCTTCAGAGATACTCTCGTCTGAAACAATACAGAGCACAAATTTAGCTCCATAAATGTAAATCATACTTACCTTGAACTCATACATCACTGAGCTCTGAAAGCCTGAGAAATGACATTTAGAATGGAAGGCTGTGTAGCGGTGATACAGTAGGTGCTAGTGACTAATGTAGCATGTAATAGGGAGCGTTTAGTGAGTGTGACTACAGCCATTAAAGCTGGGTTCACCGTCAAAACACTGTAGCACTGCCATCTACTGGCTACATTAGAAAGATTGCATAGCAGGTTATAAATCACACCTACAGTATGTCCCAACACATCTGGGGTCTTTGTGCATTTTGACAGTAATGGCTGACATGTGAGTGAAGAAGGAGGCCCCCTCTGCAACATCGGAGTGATGTGTATCTGAGGGAGTCTGTTGGGGCGTAGAGTTTGGGAAATGTTGAGAGGTGTGTTGCGGCACATCACTGTAACAGCTCTAAGTGGTTTCTACACATTGCAGGTGCTTTATTAGTACGCATGTAAACCTGCAAATTTAAAAGTGATTAGCATTAATTGTCTACTCGGCAAAGGTGTGTTTGTGGTGTGTAAGCAGCGAGCTCCCTGCTGGAGATCAGGTGATAATGATGTGGAGGATTCATCAAATGTTAAGTGAATTTGCCTGAAGAGGCGAGGTAATTGTTCAGCACCCTGGGGGTGTGCTTAAGCCTGCAGCTAAGTGAGCATATTTTTATTTCCAGCAAAGATGGTGAATTAGAAGAATTGGATATCTATAGTGAACAGTGGGTGAAGCTCAAGTCTTCTGTTGCACTGGATACTAAAAGGGACATATGTTAGAATTACTTAAACAGCTAATCAGAAGTATGATTAAAATCTGAAGATACCTGATTGTGTTGTCTCTGCTGTTAGTAACCAAACATCACTTTAGAGGAAGAATGTGTGATATATCATACATAAATACAGCAGAATTCAAGTATATCCTCTGTAAATATCTCTCTTGAGTCATGAGTGTCTACAATTAGTGAGAAGTGCTTATTGTTGTCGGGCTGTGTTTACATGGACGGGACGGACAGGACTAGAGAAAAGAAGAATAGAATACTCACTGCTTATTTGGATGTCAGATAAGTGTCTATAGATCACAGTCATTCTTTTTGAATTTATGTGCAATGTGAAGCTATGAGTTAACCAAAGTGTGCTAACATTAGCCTGCAAACACAACAATGCAGGACACCGGCAATTGCAGCTCCGGCAGAGGACAATTTTGTCAGCTGCTTGCGCTTCATGGTGCTTAATTATGGTGCGTTCTCATTCACAACTACTTTGTGTGAACTTGAGCTGAGGTTCGGTTGGAGGTTTATTGCTGGAGGAGAGCGGAGGCTTCAGAATAGCGGAGGTGTCACCAAACAGCAGTTTGTTTTGGTTTAATGATTTTGCTGCACATTTTCAGTTGCAGTTTTAGTTGCAGCCCCGACATAAAAATTACTGATGTCATATATTTTGGATCTTTTTTAAAGATTGAATTATTACTATGTGGTCTTTTTATGTGTTTATTTAGATAGAGCTGGAAACCGGAGGAGAAAGAGAATAGGGAATGACATATAGGAAAGGAGTAGAACCCAGACTCCCTTGATTTGAGGACAACAGCCTCTGTACATTGGATGCAGGAACTAACCACTAGGCCAGCTGGGGCCACATAATTTGGATCTTTTGCTGTGAAGTTCGGTCCTACCTGCTGCTGCTGTAGAGCCAGTTCCCGAAGGAAACAGCAGGTAAATGTTTGGATTAGACTTTTAACAGGCTCATTTCCTTCAGCTTGTTTCAAGAAGGACCTGTCGGGGAATAGACAGATAATCTTAGTGTACTTCATTACAACACATCAATGAAGACTAGGTCCAAAATATGAACCATAAACACATCACTCTTACATGTATGGATCACACATCACTCACCTGAAGATGTCGTTTACAACCAAGAATATGGAGCAGTGCTGAGCACAGGCTTTAGGCTGAAACACACACAAAAAAAAAACAAGTTACAAAGCCTGTACTATCAAGGTCAATTATTGCAGCTAAAAAGTGCTTCCATTATAAGCAGCTCACAAATACACCAATCTAACCCCCACTGGGTGTCACTGTTGCATCACCCGCAAACATCCTTTGCCATAGACTTCCTGTTCCTCCCCAGTTTTCACTCTCTCTCCCCATTAACCACTCAGTTTACTACACTGTCAGTCCTTCCCTCACACGCACACTCAAACACACGCTTACTCTCTCATCCCTTCCTAATGCACGCTCATCATGTGTTTCAGATTTAACACATTCTAAAACGCCCCAGCGCAAACATTTAACAGCTGTCCTGTTCATGACTGCCTCCCTCCTTATGTTTATATATCTCTTCTAGTCCCTAATTATTTTTTCCACACCCACACACCCCACCACCAGCTCATACTCATATATAGGGACGCCTCACTATATGGGGAGCATATGCAGTCCACCTCATCAATCCTACAGTGTAACACGTGCAGAAGACAAATAGATTTTATGTCATTCACTCCCAGCCAATCAAAACCCTGCAATTTAATAGTAGTAGTCAAAAATGAAGTAAATCATGTACTACAATTATCAAAGTACATCTAGAGCCATAAGCACCTATACATTTTAACCTGGTCTTATGAAATAAGAAAAGTGCCAGAAAGATAGACCAATTACAGGCCTAGCGAGGTTAGCATGAACAAACAGCCCCACCCAGTGTTCATATGGGGTCATTACAGTCTTCCGAAACCAATCAAGTGCTTGCATCCTCAGTTTGGTTACGTCTGTTTCTTCTTTTGCCTCTCAGGCCAGAACACAACATTCATCAAACGAAGGAGGAGTTTACTTGTAACTGTATCGTGGCCATGAGCAATAAACTGGCATACGGTTTCAGTATGTCAGTGAGATTGTGCATATGTGGGGTGCATGCCAGCACGCATGCATGTGTGCGAACTGTCATGGTTCCCCCTAGTGAAAACAGATGGGGTTTTTTGAGAGTCCTCCTCCATACCTTACCACTAACACTTCAAGGAGGGTCAATTACAGCACACAACAAACATCCTGTTTTTGGCAGTAAGGCCCAGGAAGTGAGTGTTTATTGTTATTGGGCCTTTGTTTCTCACTGGATCACGGGGGGGGGTTGCGAAAACGAGGAATGTGAGCCTAATTTCATGTTTCCCGTTTTTGATTACAGAAAGTGAAAGGGAGGCGAGGAAAGAGGCGAGCCAGTCCGCTTAGACGCCTTTTGTTTCTCTTCTTTTCTATTTACACGTGTATACTAACAAAGAGTTGCTTACACGGACGTAGACGCGGTGAACACACATCTGATATCCAAACATCCTGAAACCTGAGTGAAAGCTAAACGTATACTTCCCACCCTCTTTAAGACTGACATAAAAAACCAGATGTAATATCATAAACAAGCACGGCGACGGGATACATATTAGCGAGGGTTCGTCTGCACACACTGTGCGTGTCAACTAGCAAGGTGGTAAAAACGGAAAAATAGATGAGATGGTGAACAAATGACAGGACGGAGAAATAAACAGTCAATGATTGCCTCTTTTATACACACATACAAAAAGTTCATTCTAGTGTTCACAGGTCGTCTCGTAACAACCCGGTAACCCTACAAACTCAAGACGATGCAATGAAGTGCAATCAACAGGAAGGTGAATTTCTTTACATGCCGTGTTAGTATTTCACATGCATGTACGTACACCAGTGATTTCCTGAACTGAAGAAGGTGCAATACTAGCGTGTTATGTTGTGCACAGCTCCAGTGGACCATCACTCCGGGAAAACAGCACTGACACAACTGACAAACTTTACTGAACCTCACCTTACGCGAGGCCAAATGGCAGGTAAACTGGTTTCTCATCACAGTTTTCCTTACAGTCAAAGTTACCAAAGGCAAAGCAATCAGTAACCTAAGTAAACAGGATGCCATTCATGGTGGTATACATGAGGTATCCTAATGCTGGCTGCAGAGTTTTGCATAAACAATCCTCAGAAAACTTGTCTGTATAGATCAATCTCTCCCCTCGACTCTTTATGCCATACCTACTCTGTCTATAACACTGTATGGACAGGTTTGAATTCTGAAAGACTAGTCTTGTAGTACTCGAAATTTGTCTTGGTCTCATGACCGGTCTCGAGACCACTTTTTGAAGGTCTCTGTGTTGTCTCTGTCTCAAACTAGGCAGACATCGGATTCTAAATTAAGACAACCACTGATAGGCTATTTTTCCAGGTCATTACTTTTATTTGAAAAAGAAAAAATAACTTCAATTCATTTAGTTTTTTATCCCCCGGTAACTTCAGCAACCTTCCCCGTGTTATGGGCCAAATGAGTGAAAGGCCTCTTCATAAGAGATGATGATTTGTCAGTGATATTTATGGTCCTGGTCTTGACTCGATCTCAATCCCGAAATGTCTTGGTCTTGTCTCGGTCTCGGAGCACTCTGGTCTCAGGTATGTCTTGGTCTGGGTTAGCGTGGTCTTGACAACACTATGCAAGACATTGTTGAACCTTATTTCTATGTATTCTATGAGTTTTTGTTTTTAGTTGTCTAGTCCCAGTGAACCATTCAATGATATTGTTGTCTGACAATATTTTGTCAGCGATGTTACTTTATTATTATTATTGATTAAATAAAAAGAAGCCCCTGTTGGCCAAATGAAAGGAAGAAAAATCCTAAATTTTTCCCGATTCTTTGCGTTTGTTGTTGAAGTAATGAGATCTACATCTACGAATCCAAAAATCTTTGCTGACTTATGAACTTGGCATGATCTTGCGTTAAATGAAGTGAGGAGTGGCCATGGACTCAAGTGACAGAGGTTCAGTACTTACCATGCACAGTACAGGCTGTGTAGCACGGGCCAAATGATGTGAGAGGCAGTTTGGAGCTAGCCAAATGATGTGAGATGCATGCAGAGGAAAGCCAAATGGTGTGAGTTGGCCGGGCAAAAACAGTCAATAAAGATCAACCAAAAAAGCCGATGTAACACATCCAAAAACGATGTATATGCAAACATTTCAACACTATCCTTCATGATAGAATGAGCAAGCCCAGTTTGGTTTCACAGTTTAACTAAGCAGTTAAAAGTATAGCCAAACACATATGGGCTGTGCAGAGATATCTGATGTGAGACTCAGTAATTAAAGGCATATGAGTCAAAGTATGTACATAACAAATCCATTTAACAGCAGCAACATGTCACCAATTTATCAACAGTCGAAATGCTGCCAGCTCACGCAGCAGGAAAATAGCTGAAAATGCCAAAGTACAATGTCACAACATTTTACACATGACTCTCCAAGTCTAACTGTGAACATAAAACAAGGCCTTCAAGAAGGTCACATGTGAAAGCGAGATCTTTTGATATGATCATAATTCAAATCTGTCAAAATACATCACAGTTTACTTTCATCCCTGGCTAGGCAGTCAATGGACAACTTCCTTTTCCTAATAATGCCAATATGTTTGTGCATGGAGGTATAATCTATGAAGTTATAACCATGGGCTCCCTGCAAACAGCCTTGTTTGTTTGATAGTATCACACACTCTATTGATGCACTAAACTAGAGACTGAGATGTTCCTCTGCGACAAATTTCAAAGTTGATTAAACGCCAATCTAAATTCAGATTAGCTGACGAGACTAAAGTCAGTGGTTACTATGCGCGCCCCATGTATGAAGGCTGTAGTCCTCCAAGTGGGCGGCCCAGGTTCAAATCCGACCTGTGGCTCCTTTTCAGCATGTCATTCCCCTCCCTCTCTCTGTCTCTCTCTCTCTCCCTGATTTCTGATTCTATCCACTGTCTTATCTCTACAATAAAGGCACAAAAAGCCCAAAAATAAAATCTTTATCTCCATTTTCTGGACTGAAATACTGTCAAACCGCGCAGCGCTAAGATGCTAACCGTTCCCTGTGCTTGTTTTTATACGGGAAGTAGAGCTGGGAGAGAAGGGCAGCGACTGGAGCCGACTACAGCTCAGGTTAGTGGTGGGTGGCTGCGTTACAGCTTGGACACAATATTTGGCAGATACATTAATATCTCATTTACCGACTTGTAATTCTGCCGCTAACTAGTGAGGTCGACGTCATTTACAGCTACATCCCTACTAGAAGAATTTATAATTTTGCCAAAGCAAAAAAGCCAAATATTATTGGTTCTGCTCCTCACATGACAAGTTTCACTCTCGTTTCCTTTTTATACAACCGTAGAGTTAATATCTTTGGGGTTTTGTACTGCTGCTTGGACAGAGGAGACAAACTGAAAATGACACTCACTGCTTTGTGCCAATTAAACTTTCTAGACTGATTGAGAAAATCTGCAGCGTCCATAATAAAAAGTCCATCATAAAAAGAATTGTCCGTCTCAGTCTGAGCCAGATATGATTATTAACTGGGCATTAAATGCAGTCCTGATGGAAAACATTTGTTTCTACAAATATGACTTTCTATGCTGTATTCAATCAACATTCACATGATTACTCACCAGCAGTGATTGTGTTAGTAGCTGCTCAAGCTTCTGTGGTGTTGACTGAGAGTTGGTCTGAGCACACTCCAGCAGTCTGAGCACGGTTTCTTCCAGGCTGGGCAGGTTGTGATACCACAGAGACACGACTGCCTGCTCCTCCAGTGACAAGCATTGGCTATAAAGAAATCGAACATATAAACATCACAGTTTAAACTTTCAGATGGAAACAGGATTATGTGTTGGGACTGATTTAATATAAAAACAAAACATAGGTAACAGTCTTCACACTTAAATGTCCCCCTTACCTTAAGTAGGCAGAACTGAGAGCATCCAGAAAGTCTTCACTGAGTGTTGCCCTGACACAAGTCATCGACTGCAGCAGCAGAGCACCAATGAGAGGAGCAGCCTCAGGACAAGTGATAAGCGGGACACAAGCCTCGGACGTGGCCTGAATGCGGTCACAGGAACACCTGCAAACAGTCATAAAGTATCAAACAGGATTTCTCATCAAATGCATGTAAAGATAAGAATTCATACCTCCAGGGGCTTAAAAGTTTGCTGTGCTTTGATCTTTTCTAACAAAATGTATTCCTCTTATTTTATGTAAAGAACTAACTTCTGGCAGCATCTCATACCACACAGCATGCTAATGTTCAAGACTTTATCTATTTTGGAAGGAGAAGAACTGCACCAATCAGTCGACAAATCAGCAACTATTTGGCTTTAAGTTTGACCTTAAAAAAAAAAAAGAAAATGTCAAACGTTCTGTAATTTAAGCTTTTAAAATGGAGGATTTACATCTTTCCCCTGTTCTAGAGCATATTAAATTGATTATCTTTGGGATTATTGCCAGTGTGTTGGCTAAAAAAAGAGGCATATAAAGACATCATTATGGACTCTGGAGAACTGATACAGTTATTTTCCATCATTTTCTGACTTCTTAGAGACAACACAATCGGTTAAGAAAATATTCAGAATGATGAATCAGCTATAAGTTTAATTGATGGTTGCTGTTCTAGTTTCTCATGTGCAGTACCTCTGATTCATGCTGCTAGAAGAACTGCAGCTCTTCCCAATGTTTTCCTGCAGCATCGCCACCATCTGAAATAAGGAGAATATTATTTGAAAATGTCAACATGTTTATATGGGCAGAGGTGTGTCCAGAGGGGTGGCCAGGGGTGGCATGGGCCCCCCTGTAAGTGCCAACGCAAAAATCCTAAACTATGATCTGCTAATTGCTTTGTCAAAGGCAGGACATGTGTTAAAATCAACCTTTGGGGTCGTGTTGCAAAAGGCTGCTGGTAGCTTTTTCTGAAATTTACGTATCGCACCTTATCTTTGTTTGGTAACAATACTTTTTCAAACTACTACTACACGTTGCATGTCTTTTTCATGAGACAGGCAATTGTTCAGAAAAAATAAATAAATGCTAAAAAAATAAATGTACAGACAATATTTCAAAACCAAAATGTTGCCAATCAATGTATCTCACAAGTCAGACAGTGGACTGAAGCTTTAGTGCAATTTTTAGATGTTCTTTAAATTGTGGCTTTGGTCACTTTTTGAATCTTTAAAGAATTAAGCATAGGAACTGTACAAGTTGCCACTTTTTTGTGTTATTTAAAAAAATATATACAGAGGTTTAGAAGATCTGTCTTCCTTAATTTTAGTGGTTAAAGTACGTATGATTAGTGGAGACAGAAAGGGTTAATAAATCATATGCATTTGTGCGAGTGGACACACAAACTTTATGCCATGCCTGCATAAGTCAGCGCCACAGGTCGGCCACTCCAGTCAAAAAAACGTCTGGATATGCTTATGTAAACAAGGACAAGCTTTAGTAAACAGCAATAGAGAGGCCAATACCTTTCTCAGCACTTTGAGATGGTACTCATGAGGTGGTACATTCATATGCTTCATAAATGCCTGGGCTGCAACATCCTCTTCTTCTGTAGCAAGTTGACTAAACAGTTTCTGTGGGAGGAGAGGCGACACATTGTGCAGCAGATTATTATCACTTCATGTGCATAACTTAAACTGGGAATAAGATCTTAATGCAACCGGCTCAAACCCTAAGATCCATAACATCAAAGCTAATTAGTTACTGGAACATAGGATGACTCTGTCGGCGTCACATCATTCGAACCACATGAGTGCAGAAAAGGTATTCCAGTAAGCGAGGATGTATGGACAGCATATGAGCAGGTTCAGAAATGAACATTCTTCGTTACAGACAGCCTTGGTGTTTTACAAGCATTTTTCAGAAGGGGCCTCATCATACACTGATAAAACCAGACCAATAAACTCAGCTGATTCTCGTCTGTGAAAAAACACGACGCATAACGGAGGAACAAAGAGAGGGAACACTAGACTCGTACTGTACGTTTTTCAAGTTACGAGATTGTTTTTTCCAATTCAAAAGGGTCTCAACTCACAATCAGGTCGTATGCTCGTCATTCAGGGACTTCATTAAGGCTAAAGATTAAATAAAGTGATCGTTTGTTTTGTTCATCAGTATTTATAAAGTGTGATGAAATTGCAAAAAGACCTTTACATTTGAATGAGTGATTAATCGAGGCCTAAGGATTCGCTCCTCTAATGGACCATAAGAAGCTGGTCTCCTGGTACATGTCTGAACAAGTGTGATCCAGCAGAGAAAGCCGAGGCCTCACATCTTCAGCACGCAGCGTTTTTACAACTCCAATGAACCAAAAACACAGAAACATCCAGACCACTAACAGAAGACTTAGAAAGTACAAATCCCTTTCAAAGTGCAGATGAAAGAGGATCAACAGGAGATGAGGAGAGAAAGAGATTGAAAGAGGCACCATATGTTTTTTAAAAAAAAAAGGGACATAAAAAAACAACAACTGAAGGAGAAAACCCAATATCCCAGGCAGTGGAGCGCTGCAGTGCTGTTGGTGGAGCTGTGTGGTTTCCTTGGCCAGGCCCTACAGCACGCTAAGATGCTTACCCTCCACATAGTCTTACAAAACAACCCCAATCACTACCATCTGAGCGCCCTCAAACTCTGCACATCGAGTACATACAAAACCAATCACACTTATCCCACCCGGGGTAAGGAGGCACAGTGGGGCTTGGAGAGAAGAGCGGGAAGGAAAGGCTGGTTAGAAGGAATGGCGAAGAGAGAGGCTGGAACGCAATGCGATGGTTCAATTTGCAGCGGGGAGAAGAAAAAAAAAGGGTGTGGTCACCAGAGGAATGGGTTGAGGGCAAAGGGAGAGATGGACGGCAAATTCTTTAGGTGAAAAGTCGACTTTCTCTAGCAGAAAAACAACAACGAAGCTGGCTTTGGGGGCTTGGACATCGTGATAGAAAATAACCCTCCATAAATCTAAAATTAAAAGAGAGGATGGAGAAAAAATGCACAAGGCAAGAAAGATTTGGTTGGTTGGTTTTGATGGGTGCCTGTTAACAATTACAAAGCCAAGATTGAATTCTACCCAAACCAATGAAAGAAAGACCCAAGTATACTCTCTCTCATCTGGTCAAAACAGCAGAGACGTGAAGAGGGGAGATGAAATGAGGGAAAAGAGAACAAAAAAGGGTCAGGATGAAAAAGCAAAGTAATGAAGTTATGAGCGAAAGTGGTAAAAACATGTGTACAGACATTAAGGGCATAAAAGTGTATGAAATATGCAGGCTAATGATATCATCTGCTGACTATAAACTATTAGTGGTATTTGACATAATGAAGTTATAGAGATAGTTTGTGTGACTGACTGGATCTAGATTTAATTTAAATGTAAACAAATCTTTAAAATCCACCTACAACAACTTAAACCCTGATACTGTTCCTGACATGTGTCAGTGTTTGTTACAATCATTGAGGACTGATAGTAATTTTTAGTTAAACACTGGAGAGCTGTAAAGTCAGAATGACAACAACAAATACAATTCTTATCATAAATGTAAATATCTGACATTCAATGAATAATGAGCCATGTTTGGCAAAAGTCTAGTTAGCTGTATTGTCGAGAGTTAAAGGGGAAGCATGATGCCACTCGTATTAAAAATATAAAAGCGAGGAAAAGCTTAGTTTAGCATGAAAAGAGGAGCATGGGGGCATGAACAGAGTCTATACAGTCCTTGAAGCTTAGGTCGCAGGATCGATTCATGAGTCTGATGCTGTTTCATCAAAACATAACTATACCAGTACCTCTTAATCTCACTTTGTATGTTATTTGTTTAATCAATACATGTTAGAGACGTAACAAGAGTTACCCAGTTCAAGTATTAGTTAAAAACCAAAAGTATATCATTTTCACAATGACTGTGCAGCATCTGAAAATAAGAGCCCAAGAACTCATTTCTATTGGCTGTTTGTAGCCAAGTAACATCAGGTAAACCACAAATCTTTGTTTTCTCATCTTCATATTTCTGTTAGTTAGATAAAAAGCAAAGAAATCTATAAAAGAAAAACAATCTAAAGAAAGAAAGAGTATTATAAATGTATATTTTTTGTTTGTTTTTTAAAGATTTATTTTTGGGCTTCTTGTGCCTTTAATGGAGAGACAGGACAGTGGATAGAGTCGGAAATCAGGGAGAGAGAGTGGGGAAAGATATGCGGGAAAGGAGCCACAGGTGGGATTCGAGCCTGGGCTGCCAGCTTGGAGGACCAAGGCCTCCATACATGGGGCGCGTGCACTTACCACTGCGCCACCAGCGCCTGAATATTTTGTTTTGTTTGATGGGTTGCCATTCAAAAGGAAATAAAAAGATTAATGGGGAGACCTCGTTCCCACCAAAAACACATTCCTCTCCAAATGAAACAAAACAGAGTGAAAACGTCGAAAGCAGCACGTACTCCAAAATGTGTTTCTAGACTATAAAGCTGTCTCTGGAGCTCCAGGGCCTACCTGTGTTTCACCCGTTTGAGTCAGTGAAGTTACACATCTAAGATTAAACCATCAAACGGACCATCATCCAGCCCTCTAATATTAAACTCTCGTGCTTTACTCGTCTGTCATCTCCTCAAAGAATACGCCATGTTTCTGCAGCATTGTGTGGTCCCCCCGCCAGCACAGGATGTAGAGAAGAAGACCGATTGAGCTAATGACTATCTGACATAGCCTGCAGCCATGTGGCTATACCCAGCATTCATCAAAACCAGTGAGAACACTCAGATGTGGATAAGAGAGGCAGACAGGGAGGGGTTAGGGGGAGCCATGAACGAGAAAAGGCTAAATACTCTGCACACCATCATACATACTAGAAAAAAATACATGTGGCTACTAACATTAGATACAGTAGCAGTAAAAGGCTTGTTTTTTGTACAAACGTTTGCAAACACATGTGAGAAAATGCTCAAAACATACACAGTATTAAGGTGCCATTTAGCACCAGACCATCAGTCTATTATGGAGCCATGAAGAAAACAATGTTGGGGAGCAAGATCAGACAGAGCTAACAGAAAACAGGCTGCATTGTACATTCCAGGACAGGCAGTCCAACACAACACAGACTCGGGGAGAGACACAGAGACAGACCATCTCTGGCCTAAAACCATACATCTGCCCTGCTCCCCCAGACGGGATGAGCTGCGGTGAGCAGGTTTTTTCTGCACTTCCCGCCATTCCTGTTATTTGTGGGGAGTGGAGTCTTCTTGTGAGGAGACGAGGAGGGGAATGAGGGGAGGCTGCAGAGTGGGTGATGAGTTTATTGTACTTGTATTCTTTGGACACTTTTATCCGGTCCATGAGTGGACTCGGTGAACTCTGTAGGTAGTCAGCTGTGAGTGCTGTAACGAAAGCAACCCGCTACAATTAACTACTTCGACAAAGGGTTGTAAATAATGGACAACTAGAATTTTTAGGGGTAAAAGAGGTAGATTTCTCAACTGTTATGGAAGTAATATACACCATAAATCATAGCAAACCTTGTTTTCAACTGTTGCTGTCTGATTTGAACCACACCAAAGGAAACATCTACCCCCTACCACAATTTCTGCCTGTTTTTTTGTGACTATAACTTTGCGAAATGTTGCTAAGTGCTGTGCTCATGATGGGTCTTTGTAACATAACAAAGAGTAAGATATTTTACCTGCTCTTCTCTAAAGTGTCTCAAATTAACATTTGTTACTAATTGGCTCTATACAAATAAAGATTGTGTGACTGATTATCCTCTTTAAAGCTCCTGTGAAGAGTTCTTAACTGGTTATGAAACCGACTGAAATTAGTATTGGTGCTTCTTTGTGAGCTGAAGAAATGAGACCATCATCTTAATGATTGACTAGTTCTGTTTAGCTGTTTTTTATCCTGTGAAACCACTAATACAGGGTAGGTGTGAGCTGAAAACTTCACGCTGCAGAAAGATCCTTTGTTTATATCTTCCAAGGCAAATATTCACAGAGTGAAACATTTGACTGGGTGGAAAGCAGGATGAGATTTCTTTGTTAAATAACACACTAGGAAGAAAATCAGTAAAGAGATAAGGGGTGTGACTTTATCCACAGGATCGCCAAAACTGACACTAGTGGGAAGGTAGAATAATGACAACATTACTTTATGTGGCAGCAGAAGCTCAGTCTGTATGGACTTGGGTTGGGAACCTGAGCATTGCCTGTTCAAGTCCCGGTGCAGACCGAGTCTGGATATTTGAATGGTAACTTCCTGAGCTCTGCCGAGGTGCCCTTGCATTAAACCCCCTAACTCTAACCCCCCCCAGACATCTCTCCATTAGTGCATGTTTATTTCAGCCTATATGTGTGTAGCATGTCTCAATAACAGAGTGGAAAATTGAATTTCCCCTCGTGGACTAATAAAGTATATCTCCTTCTTCTTCTTAAACATATTGAGTTTTCTGGAGGAAATAAATAAAATAAATGGTGTCATGTAAAGTGATTCACAAATGGCTTGAATATAAATAAACATAAAATCCAATGAGAAATCTGTTTTACTAAACACTATTCTTGTTTTGTTTAAATCTATATTAAAAACACAACAATATACATGTAATTAAAAATGTTAACTATACACCATCTCCTCTTTCATGCACGCACAAATTCACACACACATGCAATACATAGAGATATGCAAACATGCACCTATACAAAAACGCATACAAGCACACATGCACTCGGCTTCCCCTCTTTAGGGTCTAAGACCATCTGGCAAATTTCGAGGTTTACTTTCAAGGCCCTGTTTTAATTAGCAAGATGTTTTATTAGATGAGAAATTAATCAAAAGAACACAAACACACAGTTAATCTGGCAAAAATGTGAAGGTCCCACATTGTTTATCATAAGCCATCTGTGTGAACCCTCACCAAAGTTGAAAACTACAGAATCTTTTCTTCCCCTCTGTTCTCGTTCCCTCCTTTGTGTGCGAGCCTCGAAAACACACAGTGAGCGAGATCAACTAACCACAAAGGCTGAGCCTTCTCTGGTGACAAGGGGCAGTGAAACAGTCCATTTTAATTTGCTTGCAGAATATGTTTTACAGTTTTGGGCACAGACGGCTAAGACTAACAGAGACCCAATCTACCTCATTCATCATCCATGTCCCGTTGGAGAGGAGACACGGAGGCCTGGCGAGAGAACTCCTATTAAAAGCAAATTAGAAAGAAAATCTCTTCAGCAGCCCAAAGGCGGTCTTACACAGATTCTTTTAGAGGAGTATTTGTTCAAGTGATGATAGTCGAGAACTAATAAGGACATTAAAAGAAAACAGATCCGGCATGAAAATTTGAGAAAAGGAACACGATGAACACTTGGGAGAGATATTACAGTTACAACTAAAGTATGTTTTGAATTGGTGGAATCCATATCCATAAAAAAGAAGAGTTTCTTTTTCCGCCTTGTCTTTCATGCGTGTGTTATACCATATAACCAATCAAAGCATGCAGGAAGTAAAGACGACTTCATGTTGCTCTCTCTGGTAAGCAAGCTTATCAAGTAATTTAGCCCGGTAAATACTTTGTTTAAAATCTCAGCATCAAACTGTTGTTGTCCAAAATATACCTAAATAAAAATCTGAGAAAACTAATGCTGGGTCTTGAGATTTCAAACATTCCTGATAAAGAGCAAAATGTGCCCGGAGAATGATACATAGATTAATCGTTTTGTTTACTTGTCCTCTGTGCTGGTACATTTTACCCTTTCCCCCCATAAAATGAAGACATTGCTTTGGGCTATGACAAACTGGGAATGGAGCATGAAAGCCCAAGCCACCCAAGCCCTTCCAGACAGGAGCGTGGTCAAATAAGGATCATTTGCATTTAAAGCTACAGACACAGAAACAGCCTGTTCTGAGCAGGGTTGAAATAGAGGGGTTTATAGACATAATGAAATACAGGATCAGAGTGGATTTATTACAAGAAACTTCACAGAAATGTTTTGAGGAGCTCGGAGTCTTATTCAAACTAGCTGAAAGGGAGAAGAATACGTGACCTTTAAATAAGGCCCAATCATTTTTACTGTCAATGTTTTGCCTGATTTAATAGCAACTCCTCTGATTTTTTGCATAAACTCAAAATGTTCAAAGACAGTGACGATGTGCATGTAGAAGAACTCATGGAGCACAATTTCATTGAATCTCTATTAACAGAGATAAAAAAAAAAGTCCTGAGTGACCATACCTGTATCCACTGGTTGGCTTTTCTTTCCACAGCATTGCCTGGATGCTCAGAGTAAAGACTCCACAGACACTGGAACAAAAGCTTTCTGCCTGTAGCTGCAAACATCAAAACATCACAACACAGACAGTTTAAAAAAAGTTAAAACATCTCCACATGGACGGTTGATTTCTGCTTTAATGTAGCACCCTTAACACTGAAGAGTTCAAGCAGCAAAATGACTCATGCCTGCCATTAGCCTGTCCATACCTGTCTACCGTTTATCCAAGCTGAATGGTTTTTCTGAACTCACCATCAGCAGTGACATAAGGGTTCCAGCACAGTCGTCCAAGAAACTGGCCCAAGAAGGGAAGTGTCTTCATGGTCTCTGTTGTGGAGCTCTTCAGGACAAAATAGAGAAAGCCACAGACAGGAGAAAATGAATGTTTTAGTCTGCATATTTTCATAGTCGAACACTTTTGATAATGTAGTGGAATAAACAGAAAATATAGGTATTTATACATCTGGTCAATCTTTGATGTAACAGAAACTGAACAAATGCACAAACAGGCCGTTTACACATCTTCAACTGTATCAACCTGTTATGTTTTATCCTTTTGCACCTAGCAACCCATTGTTGCAACAGCAAACATAAGGACCTCATTCATAAGTCAGCTTAATAACAAAGCATCATCATCTTTAATAGAAGTCCACATGTGCATAGCACATATCACGTGCATCACCTTTGTTGACCTTGTTTCATCATGTCAACATTCCCACTTTAGTATGAACAGTGAGAGATACACAGTGCAGACTCAGAGCACGGCTCTGGTCGAGGGTGCTGTACCTGTTAAGGTTTTAGTGTGTGTGTGTGTGTGTGTGTGTGTGTGTGTGTGTGTGTGTGTGTGTGTGTGTGTGTGTGTGTGTGTGTGTGTGCGGGTGTCTGAAGCTGTTTATCCAGCTCAGAAACACACACCATGTGATTCACTTCAACTCACAGCCTATTAAAAACATGCAGACGGTTTCATGCTAAGGCAGACACTGTATTTAAGAACATGAAGAACCTTTAATCCTGACTTTTTTTAACATTCAAGTTCATAAATATGAGGCTTTCCCAGAGGACCTTCACTTGTAAAAATCGTACACTGGACCGTGTTTCTGGATACATGAAAAACAAGACTTGGTCTACAGCCGTGGTTCTCACACTTTTCCCAATATCATTATTCCTTTAAATTATCTTTCATCAAAGTACCCCCTGAGCAACACTTGTAAGTAGAAAAAGACTACGATACAAAAAAGGGACAATACAGCTTTGAGCCTTCAGTGTCTCATTTCTTTTTTTAAAGGTTACTTTTTTGTATCTTTATGCCTTTATTTTAGAGATAGGACAGTGGATAGAGTCAGAGAGAGAGAGTGGGATACCACACATGAAGGGAGTCACAGGTTGGATTTGAACCCGGGACGCCCGCATGGAGAACCTGGCCTCCGTACAGGGTGCACACACTAACCACTAGGCTACCTGCGCCTATGCTTCATGCACATTTCGTGTTTTAACAATAAATGCAAATATAAAGCTGATCTACAAGAAAGAAAATAGAAAGAATACATATCAAATGTGGTAAATAGGGGCGCGGTTGGACTAGTGGTTAGAGTGCCTTATGACTGGGCCGTATGGAGGCTGAGGTCCTCCAAGCAGGAGACACGGGTTCAAATCCAGCCTGTCCCAGTTTCTCTCTCTCCCAGATTTCTGACTCTATCCCCTGTCCTGTTTCTAAACAAAGGCACAAGTCCACAAATAAACATTTCAAATGTGGTTCATCCAATTTTCATTTACATTTCAATTAACTTTTTTTCTTTTTTTTTTTTTTTTATTAAATGAGTGATTTTCTAAAAACCTTCTAAACCTTTTCCAAAGTACTCCTAAGGAGGTTAGGGTTAGAATTAATTAGAGAACCTCTGCTCTACAGCACTTTGAGAGTGAGGAATGTCGAACACAGCGCGGAAAAGGGTGTAATCCATTGAAAGACAGATGTTCACAGCTGTTATCATTTAAAACAAAGGCAAACGATCGATCAGTAAATAAGTTTGTCCATTTGTTGTTTCTAACCAAGTATGAAAAAACATCGAAACTTTTTTATCAAGGAGCCGAACACACAAACACTCAAGTCAAGCTGAAGAAAAATGACTTCAGTATGGATACAATAAACATACTTTTTGAATCCGGACAACTGTGAAGACACAGGTGTAATGCATTACTTTGATCCCATTGTATTCCGGGTTTAATATTACAGTAATACACACGGAGCAACACAATGTTTTACAATACTGAGGTGAAAAGGAAAAACAGATCCAAGCGGTGACGTACAGCTTAAATTAACAAGCATGTCTGCACACGTGCGCATGAATCATGTTTATGTGCATTTACAGTATTACCTAGCATCCATCCCACATTCATAGACCATATCATTCATTTCATCTGTGAGCTAATTTAACTCGAGAGAACAGCTTCGACGGAGGAGAGGCCCACACAAAGAAATCTGACATAATAAAACAGTTGTTATTGAAGCAGTGTGCTCGTGCTCAACCAAAGATGATTCAGCTGGCTGTGGTCAGGGTCTCATCTGAACCTAATATGTGGAAAAACAGGAACACTGATTTTAAATAGAACCATAGGATGATTGAGGAGCTTCAGTTCTTTCTCTCCCGTTGGGCCTAACATCCCATCAGTCTCACTGACACACGTCTTAATCAAGCAAACATGCACTTGTATATTTTCATCCCTTTGGGCGTGAATTCAAAAGCAGTCTTAGTCACCATGAATCAGACATTGCATTATTCTGCGATTCATAATTTCCATCTAGTTTTCTGTTCTCTTGATCTTCATTCTGTGGACGTCGTTGTTGTTCCCAAAGTCCACACTGAATTGGTAATGGATCAAAAGCTTTTAGCTTTTCCGCACCTCCTGCGTGAAACAAATCTACATACTGATTCAACCAGGCCAGAGTGGGAACTTTTGAATGTTGTTTCACTTTGTTTTGTACATGTTTTTTGGTGGGAATTGTCTGTTGGACAGAAACAGGGCTTTGAAAAGGAATTTCCCCATGGGGACAATAAAGTCTAAACTGTCAAACTTGAAGATCTGAACATTTTTAATATGAGGGACTATCTTTGGACCGGGGGGGAATGTTTGCTGAAAAGTTCAAGAATCAATAAAGATCGTTTGATGTCACTTTAACCTCTTTATGTGCTTGCTTGTTTATGGGTGAAGCTGTTTGTTGTTGCTATTCTTGGTCAGGTCTCATTTGTCAGAGATATAGGCTATTGAGTTTATTGAATAAAAAAAAATAATTGGCACAGGCGTCCGGGGCTTAGTGGTTAGTGTGCGCCCCCCCATGTACAGAGGCCACAGTCCTCAAAGCAGGCAGCCCATTTTGGAATCCAACCTGTTGCCCCTTTGCCGTTGTCATTCCCAGCTCTCTCTCTCCCTCTAATTTACAACTGTATTTACTGTCCTGTATCTAAAACCCACCGAAAAATTGCTTTTCTTAAATTCATTGGACTACTGGTTGATGATAAATTGGTGAGAGAAATCACTGTGTTTAAGAAGGGCAAAAATTACTTTTAAGATTATTATTTTTTAAGTCAGTACAAGTAGAGTAGTGATGTTAATAAGGGAGGAACATGACTTGGAAAATAAAATAATTAGAAACTAATGTAGTTATAATTGTAGATGAAATCAACATCATGACATCATTTCATGCACGATCCATCAAAATAAGCAGAGAAGACTTGGTAAACATGGAGAAGCCTCACTAAAGCTTTGTATTTAAGGATAATACTTTAGTCCTATGTGATCAAAAAGAGGACCAGACAGAAAAAGAGACTTACTTGACTCACTCAAGTGGATGAGATCATCATTAATTGGAAGCAGGATAGTAATAGCCCCAATAGGATTTCTCTAAATGCCCCCCTCTGTGCCCCCCACCAACACCACCAATGCTGCCTGGAACACAGCCCTTACACTCAGCCCGCCTATCAATCCAACAACACATGGTTAATGTTGTGTGCGTTTGTGTGTTGGTGATGCAACAAAACAGGAATGTTCGTTTTATAATAAGAGCTTTACTAATGTTTTGTTACTAAGAAATGCAGATCACGACACAAAGTAATTATCACTGACTGGCAGCGCCAAGTCTCCATTGAGCATCGTCGTCATTGTCTGATTATGAGCAATCTTTGGATCGATGTGTCTTGTCTTGATTAGGGACAGGCATGTCAGACAGAAGTGGCTCATTAAGTAAAGCCAGCGGGGCAAATGGGGACAAGTTTATAGACAACAATGGAGAGAACAGTGAGGAAACACTTCTGTCTCTGACATCACTGAGTCACAATCAGAGTGGCTCTAACAGCAAGGTTACTATGGTGAGCACATAAATATACACTTGAGTGTAGTGTTGAATACCTCACCCCCTGCGTCCGTCTTATCTTGGACAGTGTGATTTTCAAAACAGTCCCTTTGAGCAGTCGTGAAGCAACTATGGGGGGAAAAAACTTTTGAAGTGACTCCACAGTATTAATACTGGTCCCGATCTTCTCATCAGACTCTTGGTAAGAAACATCGACAGTAAATCACAATGGACAGCGCTTCTCTGTCTCCTTCTGTTGTCGTGAATTGAACACGGAGTACCCCGTGACGGCTGCTGACATTGCGCTGGTGACATATATGAAGCGAAGACATGCAAAGGAACTGTCTGGTCGAAATGCAAAAGTGATGCCACACCCTTTCAGCTTACCCTAGCACACATTGAAAGACTTATTTTTTTGGGGGGGGCTTTTTATACCTTTTTTTTTTTTTTTTTACAAAGATAGGACAGTGAATATAGCCTGAAATCAGGAAGAGAGAGCAAGGAATGACATTTGGCAAAGGAACCACAGGTTGGATTCAAACCCTGGCAACCAGCTTGAGGACTACAGCCTCTTACGGGGCGCACACATTAACCACTAGGCCATCTGCGCCCCCACAGCAACACCAATATAATGTCACTGGAAATAGTCTTGCAAACAGCATGTCACTGATCCTTCCTAGAGACAAAGTAAGACTCCCAGACTGACGACTTGATCTTTCATGTTTGACCGTGAAACCAAAATAGTTTGTCCAACAGCATTAACACAACACATTACAGTCGGCTACTGACACCAGTGCATGAAAACATTATTTACTGATGAGACTGTCAATGGGATAGATATCGGCTGATACTGATGTTCAACCGATAAGTACATCCCCCTGTGTAACTTAAAATGGGGTTTAAAGACTGTAACATGTCATGTATCTATCTTTTAAAATATACTGTGCAACTGGGAAACCAAAAGCAATGAATCCATCCCAGAATTTCTATCCAAACTACTCTTTTGGAAAAGCTGGATGGAAGCAACATTTCACCTAAGTTTTTAATTTCACTTGAAAAAATTTTGTTCTTTCATTCATATGCAGCTTATGTAAGGAGTCGGACAATGGACATATTTCTGTGGAATACATGCTGATGAACTCATTATTTTATGACAGATTGTTTTGGTTTTTTTTAAACTGAAATTAAGCAGCAGAGCACCAGACAGCCTGTATATGACCCGAAGCACAACTTTCCACAGAGCTGTCAAATGCACGGCTGCACCCGCAGGGGAGATTCTGCACTATAAATACAAAGACCCATTATCAGCACCTTTCTGTCATCATCTTTTTTTCTGAACGTATGAAAGATTGTCTAATAGGTGCTGAAATCAAAACACCTGCCAAACAGCATTAGGCTCTAGACAGCCAAGCTCTAATCTCGGACTTGTCATTGTTGAGTTAAGGCAAACTGTGTATTTGTCTCAACCCAGCACATGGAGCCATAGTTATTTAATTTCCTGTTTCTGTTATTGCCTATATTTACAGCTTTGCAAACTGCTTGCAGTCTGCTCCAATAATTGTAATCAAGTGATCATATACTTTTGACAGGCCTTCCTTGGCTTTAATGTTGAACTTTCTTGTTGTCTGTATGTGTACAATTGAGATGGGAAGCTTCCTTCACTTTTCTAACCAAATGTAAAATCCAAAAAAGAACAATAATTAGGACTATTCCTCATCTTTGTGCATAAGCCACAGGAAAGTTGTTCAGTCATCAAAGGCTGCAAAATGCTGCCAAGAAGCAGGATATCCTCATCTGGTCTTTTTTTTTATGAGATCACTGCCAGTAAAAAAGTATTTCAACCCAATTAAACTATACCATTCTTTTCTCTTTCTTTGTATCCACTCCATCATCCTACACATGCTGAAACCTCTGCATGACATGTACTCAAAGTAATGCTATCAGAGAAGGACACCGACAGATATGAATAACAGCCAGACAGTGCTGGATCTATAAAAAAAATAAAGGGATTGTTGCCCAAATCAAGGGGAAAAAATCATAAGTAAGACCATCAGAGAGACATTGAGACTGCTTCTAACCGTCACAGTGTTACATTAAAACATATGTCACAAAGAGACGTACATTTAAAACAGTAAAACGACTGTAAAGCTGACATGAAAAAGATTTCTTCTGTGAGAAAAGAGTATGTTATGTGAGAAAAGTGCAGAAAGACAGAAAGCTGGAGGCAGGAGTCAAGGTCGAATTAACACTGAGATCTCACAGCCCTGCACCCCCTCCTGTCCTCTGCCCCCTTCCCAAATTTGCTGGACCTGATATAGGGATACATTAGGTTAGCGCCGAAGGTCCCAATGCGGCTATTACCTGACTAACTCAACACTGCAGCGCTGCCAGAAAGCCTCTGCACAGCACAGAGCAGCCTCTGTTAGTACGATCCTTCCAACGCTGGACTGGCTGTTCGTGCTCTCGCTCTGACAAAGAGTCAGCGTGTGCATGTTCCAGTGTGTGTGTGTGTGTGTGTGTGTGTGTGTGTGTGTGTGTGTGTGTGTGTGTGTGTGTGTGTGTGTGTGTGTGTGTGTGTGTGTGTGTGTGTGTGTACTAGAAGTGCTGGTGTTTAAATTACTTTAGTGCTTCATTAATCAGCTGTTAGGCCTAACTGATTAACTCATATTTCATTAGGTAAGGTTGTTCAACCCTGCAAGAGGTCAGGGACTAGGAGGACTGTCTCAATCTCTCACAAATATAAAAGTTAAAGCTTCTGTTGTTCATTATTACATAGTAAAAAAAAGAAAAAAAAATGTAAAGGCCCAGGCTCAACGTTTCTGTATAGCTCACCATGCAGTTGATATGTGTGAGGAGTCGCTGAAGGAAATCCCTCAGTCTGTTCAAATGCAGGCAGGTGTCTTTCTGAGAGTCTGGGCGCTCAGCCTGGCCCCATGCCACCGCTTTGTCCAGCCAGAACTGCATCTGCTGGATGTTCAGGAGGGGCTCCTCGGCTGAACCTTGGAGCTGGCTCTGTGGCTGCAGCTGAGACATTTTCTGCTTGTTCAGGTGAATGTTCTCAGGAACAAGGTGACATCCTAAGCAGAACAAAAAAAAAAATCAAAAACCGCAGTCAAGCCCATGGAGTATACAGAAAACATCTATATAAAACATCTTTTCTTTGTGGCTGTTTCAGCTGCTCTATGTTGACTTTTACGTTGTGATCTTCCAATGAAATCACATTTTAATTAACTGATTTCAGCATCCATATTGGTCGCAAAGATATTCAATGTTTTCTGAAGTGTTTCTAACATGGGTGGATCAACTTGCCTTAAAGAATGAAAACCCACGCCGTTGTGGAGTTTTATGTGTGAAGAATTGTAAGACTAAAAGAAAGGGTCTTCTTTGTGCATTTAAAAATGCAAATATCTCATATTTGTGAAGAAATGTCACCTTTATTTCCCAAAATATACACTTAATCAAATATAAAAATGGAAAAACAAACTTCTGCCATAAAGCTCAGTAGGGTTGCCCCCAAAAAGTTGACTATGTTTGTCATAAGTTGATGAAACTCTTAGTAGAATGTTTAATAAAATCACTCTTAAACCAGCGGTCTCCCAAATATGTCTCAAAGGACTGAAGCAGGGAGGGGATGTTATTATACTAAACCTTAATTAATCTTCAGTCCCATGATGTTTCTTCCCAGACATTAAGAATCATAAAAACCATCGGTGTAAGTACTGACGTTAACAGGAGGCTAGAAGCATGCGTGTGCTTGTTAAATCTACCCGTGAGAGGATCATTATAGCATGTTTTCATGTTTGAAGCACAGTGTTAACAATGTTTCTGTGAAAATTCCTTTTCATCCCTGGAATCTAAACCACTGGTTCTTAAATTAATATTTAGATAGGCTCTTGGGGCCTTTACGGGAGAGATAGGACAGTGGATAGAGTCAGAAATCAGAGAGAGAGAGGGAGGGGAATGACATGCTGGAAAGGAGCCACAGGTCTGATTTGAACCTGGGACGCCCGCTACATGGGGCTACTGACCACTGCTCCACCAGCGCCTCTATATTTAGATCCATCCATCCTTTATCTTTTTTTTTTTTTTTTAGAGTCACCAATTAACGTGCATGACTTTGGACTGAAGGAGGAAGCCAGAGTACCCAGAGAGAACCCATTCATGCACGGGGAGAACATGCAAACTCCACTCAGAGAGGACCAGGAACCTCCTTACTGTGAGCTTGAATAAACGACTATGAGTCGTCTAGAACAATGTTTAGTCGAGCCAGCCCCAAAATATCCTGCCAATGCATGTGTGCTCTACTTTGTACGGTGCATGTGTGGCCTACATCTTCCCCTATTTTCCATTAGAGCAGAATTAAATTACAATATAGAAAATTGAAGGTTATGATCAGAGGAACATTGATGGAAACATAGGTAGTTCATCTGGTTATGTTAAGCTCTTATTACCACCATCTGAGCATCACACTTTTACGCTGCAGGCGATCAAACCTTTTCACACGAACACATTCACGGAGGCCTACTGAGAAATAAACAGAACATTCTTCATCTTTTATGATGATGGAGGGAAAATCGTGGGGGGGGGGGGGGGGGGCAGATCACAAGGGTGTGTGTCGGGATGTGTGGCGTGAATTTGGAAAGCCTGAGAATGGTGTTTGTGTGTGTGCGTTTGTGTGTGTGTGTGTGTGTGTGTGTGTGTGTGTGTGTTTTTTTTACCATAATGACAGGTCTGTGTAAGACACCACAGGGTTGTGTTTTATGATCACCTCACTGCACACGGTTTGTTTAATGTCTTGCCATCATCTCTGCTGGAAAGCCCCTATGGCTCGCTGATGTGAATATATAAATACTCATTTTCAAGGAGCAGAAAAAAACCCAACCAAATTAGGAACAAGCGCCTCTTGTTTACTTGTGTACAGGGCTCCACTTTGATTAACACATAGTCGGAAACAAACTGATTGCGCAATATGGAAGTAGCAGATAATGTTACCAACAATCTTAATCAAGCATATATATTTACATGTAGACACAGATCATTTATCAGTGTATGAGCAAACCCATGCCACACAGGCTAAAAGTTACGTATGTGTGTGCACATAAACACACTCGCAAGCAGCTCCGGTGTTTGCTGTCCACATTCTGGAGCAGGAACAAGATGTGACTGCTCAAATATTATCAGTGAAGATTTTTTTTTTAAACTCTAAGCTTGTTTACTTTGGGTAAGGGGCGAGTTTGCAGTTCCAATTATGAGATTGTTGACATTATTTTTCAGTTTAATCAAATCAGTTTAACATCACCTTCTGAAAAAATGTACCTCTGTGTGCTGCAGTATGTTTAAGAACACCTAGATCAGGGGTGGGCAACTGGCGGCCCGGGGGCCACATGCGGCCCCCATCAACCCTCAACGTGGCCCTCAGGTTAATTTTTTACACATCAATTAATTGGAAACATTTAGAAAACATGATGAAATCTGCCATGAAATCATGAAAAACAGAAATGTGTCCATAATAATATTTGATCACTGGTATATGTTGAGTTAAATCTGAGACATAATTGACTGTAATTGTTTTTGGAAACTACAATTTGGCCCCCTGGCAGTGAGAATTAAATGAATGTGGCCCTTGATGTGACCACAGTTGCCCATCCCTGGTCTAGATTATAAGAGATTACTGTGAGGGTCGTGGCATTAACAGCCATAAAAGGGAGATTTATGTACAGCTGATTCCAGGTAATACAATTGTACATTTTTTCATAATTTTGCTCCAACAATCTTACATTCATCAAGAATCTTAAAGAAGAAAAGTGAAGAGAATTAACCAATGGAAATTAGGCATTACAAGGCAGGTGTATAGAAATGTTTGAGGAGTAAACAATTACAATCTTTTACTGTAGGTACTTTGACTTTACTCAACCAACTCTTCTAGGATTTGGACCAGCAGCTTACATTATCTGACTACCTAAAGGCAACTTTGGTCACAGCAGGGGCCACATTCATTTAATTCTCACTGCCAGAGGGCCAAATTGTAGAATACAAAAACGATTACAGTCATTGTTTTCCTCCAATTTAACTCAACATTTACGAGTGATCAAATATTATTATGGACATATTTCTGGTTTTCATGATTTCATGGCAGATTTTGTCATGTTTTTCTTCATGTTCCCAATTAATTGATACGTAAAAATTGACCTGAGGGCCACATTTGAGGGTTGATGGGGGCCGCCAGTTGCCCACCCCTGCTTTAGTTAAAGGTTCAGGTGTAATACCTCAAACAGACCACAGGATGCCAGTGTTTCCTTCACTCAGCTACAGGTAGACTACACACGGATAAAGCATGTCAGTTCACTTTTTAATACAAACAAGAGGCTTAAAATTCGTCTGTGAGTCAGAGAGTCATTACATCTCTAACAACGTGATAATAATGATTAAACCTCTTCACAGAGTTTACTGTATTCCAGCTATTAGCTTGTTAGTTTATTAATCTACTGCCGTATGAATATTGGTATAGAAGCTTTAAATGTTGACTTACGTGTACACGGGTGGTGCAGACATCAAACTTAAATGTCTAAAAGTCAGCTTTAGACATTCATTCTACATAATATCTTCAGACAAGAAGACAAACTTTCCGTTCCGTGATGTAAACAATCCGAAATTCCCTCTTCCCTCTAACTTCCGTGTACGGAAGAAGATGATTGGCTGGTAGTCGCCCGTTCTCCTCGCAAGACCTGCTGGGAAATTGAGTCATATGGCTGCAGGAGCAGTAAAAGGATGGATTTCTCATATTGAGAAGCTACAAGTTGCCGCTCAGATAGATGATATATCAGTTCTTCGGTTACCACTATCAAAGAAGGTTTCCACAGTGTCTCTGTCCACGACTACACTGTTTAATTTAGTTGAATAGTTAATGCTTTCAGTTGGAAAAAGGATGACGAGACATGTTTTAGGCATACAAAATACACAGGCAATATTTAAAAAATACTATAGTAGCCTAATACAAATTACTAAATCAAATGAAAAATTATTCAAAAAATAATAATAATAAGGAGAATAAAAGTTACCGTTCTGCATAAGATAAGAGCCTTAAATCTTGCTTTAAAAAAAAAAAAAATGAATCAAGAATTAACACAAATTTAAAAAAACGACTTAATTGAAACAAATGTCATGTTCTTTGCATACAAAATATTTGGTATACAAATGAAGACTGTTTTGTCAAAAAGTATGAATACATTTTTTAAGTACATTTTTGCCGTAAAGGTTTATTCCCTTTATTTTCCTACTTACATATATGAGAATCTCATTCTGAAAAGACTGGGTTTTTTTGATAGTTGTGGATAAAATATTGTACAATTCATTAAAAAGACAATCTGTAGGTAAGTTGACCATGCATGCTTTATCCACTGAGCATAATCAGATCATGCATTCCATCTATTAATGTAAATGTTTTTCATGTGTTCAGTTGGACTTATCTAACCTGCCTTGAAGAGAAACCTGTCACCAACTCATTAACAGTTCAGGGGTTAAAAGGACATAGGAAATGCTTGGAACAAAGACCATGCTGTATGTGTAAAAGTGTGTGCTAAACGTGCAGGTGTGACCACTTTTGCAAATGTACACCTTTCTCTGCATATGCTTATGTTCTCATCTGTGTGTATATGTGTGTGTGTGTGTGTGTGTCATGCACGTTCAGGGGTGAGAGTCCAGAGGGTAAAGCAGAGTGCATACCTTGGCCAGGAATTCAGGGGTTCGGAGCCTGTCCCTCTGGAACCCAAAGCAAACTTTGAGGAGTTCTCGGCCTGCATGGCTTGAACTGACAAATCACCCAGAGGCTCCAGCCAGACCCTGAGCGGCCCAGCACACACTGCACCAGGAAACGGTTGTTTAAACATACGTAATGTCATATATGTGAGTTTGTGCATGTGCATGAGTGTGTGCTTGTGGGCATGCATGCTTGCATGAGAAAGCGGTTATATGCAGATAACGTGCACTCAGATACACAGTTTGACTTAATTATGTCCTTCTTGTGCATGTGCCTGAGTGTGGTCAGATGTGGTGGTGGTTGTTAATGCGTGCCTTTACCACTTGAATGCCGCTCAATATACACGTACGAGACATGGTATGTGCGCACAGTTTGAATGTAGTGAAGCAGTCTGTAGGATGGGGAATGTGTTTAAAGTGGTCCAGTGGCAGAATTTCTGTGGTAGGAAAGTCCGGGTCTGCATGTGTGTGTATGTGGGTGTGTACACAGGTGTGTGCACTTTATGTGTGTGCTTGATTTTGGCCTGTTTCCCCATATTTGATGCTTGTGGCCTGATTCCTAGAACATGGAAACAGTCTGTACAAGAGTCTTGAAGGTGCAACATCATTTTTCTTCTAGTCTAGTTTCCCTTGAAAGTATATTTCATCATATCTACTTACAAGTGTAAGAAGTCAGTATTAGTTATCTTAGACTTAAGCCATAAGTGCTTTGCTATTCTTGATTCATGGGATACTGAAAATAATTATGCAATTTGTAACATCCCCTGCCAATAATAATCACGTCAAGACAATGAAAATTGACACTTAATTTCACATTACTATACATCTTACCCCCCGAAAAACAAAAAAACTGTATCCCGCATTTGATGAAAGTAAGGAGTTGAAACCATAAGACACTTGACAAGGCTCACCATCATCTCCACCCTAGATGTACCAGAGCTAGGTCTCTCCACATGCATGGTGTGTGTGTGTGTGTGTGTGTGTGTGTGTGTGTGTGTGTGTGTGTGTGTGTGTGTGTGTGTGTGTGTGTGTGTGTGTGCGTGCATCAGTGAGTGAGTCTCAGTCTTGTAAAAACATCAGCATATGGGTTTGGAACAAGGTCCCTGGCAAAACTCGAAAAAAAGAGAGAGAGAAGGAAAGAAAAAACATGGCAAGAAAACGAGAGAGAGAGAGAGAGAGAGAGAGAGAGAGAGAGAGGTTTGATGCCCAAAGTGGAAACCCACACACTGATGGTTTTGTGTGTGTATGAATGTGTCTTTGCTTACGTGTGTGTGTGTGTGTGTGTGTGTGTGTGTGTGTGTGTGTGTGTGTGTGTGTGTGTGTGTGTGTGTGTGTGTCTGTGTGTGTCTGTGTGTGTGTTTGTCCTTGAGGATGTGTGGGTGTCTTGCTTGGGCGCACATATGGAAGCTAGGAGAAATTTAGTGTAAACCACGTGTGTTTTTACTGTACTGCTACTCTGTGATTATTACAGAGCCAAGAGACGGTTTGTCACGCAGTAGGGCAGCAACTCATCCATATGTGTGTGTGTGTGTGTGTGTGTGTGTGTGTGTGTGTGCGCATGTGTGTATTTAAAAGTGCATATGGGTAAATGCTTAGAGTGCAGATCTGATAACAGCCAGCAATTTATAATTGCCAGCTGGATGAATCTACCAGCATGCAATCGGTTCAATGACCAGAACTGTTCATAACTTTGAAATAAACAGAATAATTGGCTTTACAAATTAGCATAACATTTGACTAAACTTAAAAGCACAAACACTGACTATTAGTGACAAGGGTATTCATTTGAAAAAGTTTAACTTTTAAAAGGCTCAGATGGTAATAAGCATTACTTCTTAATCTCAAAATACACACCATTTTTATTCTTTGAATCTTGAACTCACAGGTGCTTCTTTTCCCTCCTTGTGTCCATTTAGGTCAACATGAAAAGCACATCATTTCACTTTAAGGCCAAAATCATCATAAGAGTTGTTGCAAGATTATAATCTGAAAAATTATAGATCCAACCCTTGCCCCATACAATGAAAAAAAACACGACCATATATAGATTTTGGAAGGAAAGTCAAAGCCTGCGATGGCTCATTTTTGAAGTATTTGTGTTTTTTGACCTTGTGGTTTGGCCAGAAAGCGACGGAGCCTGGTGGAGAGCTTGGATATCAGTCTCTGGAGTTTATCATGGGCTAACAGACAGCAGGAGCAACACAGCTGCTGACAGATTTGCCAGTTCTGATCCAGACCAATCCTATTACCTGTTCTGGTCCAGGCCAAAGCCATTACCACCATGGTTCTTCCACTGTGGCCCAGTATGACCTGACACTTATCTGAGTGCACCCGATACTGATGCTCCTCTGGTTGATGCCCTGGACTGTGTGTGGGCTCTACTGCTGGCTACCACAGTAGGAATAAATGAACTCCATGATAAGCACTGTTAAGCTTAGCTTTCATGCTCTTTGTCGTGTTTTAGTAGTCTCAATGATGTCACCCATTGGTTTCTGAAGTGGTGTTATAGAGCCCAATGATGGCAGTCGCCGTATTGGAAATGTGGACACCTACTTTTAGATCAATCTAGAAACACGCAAGAAGGTGTTTAGCCATGTGGCAAGCAGCGACAATACGTCCATCTGTCAGTCAATTCAGCCAGTCCCTCTATTGTACAAATACATGAATAAATCGTATGCTTATTATTGTGAAATCGGAAGAGTTATAAAAAAATTCTACCCTTGTGCAATGTGTAGCAACTGGTAAAAAATGGTAATGTTCTGTAATAATGCTGTAAAAATTGGCATTTTAATATAAGACCTAATGGGGTGTACTTGCCTTTTGCAGCCAGCCTCAAGTGGACACCCGTGGAACTGCATTTTTTTTTCTTCTGAATTAAATTAATTTTTCATTTTCAACTCCACAGGATATCCATTGCACAAAACTTTCACACAGTTTTAACTTAGAGACTAGAATTATTTCTTTTTTCTTTTTTTTTTACAAATGTGAATGATTTTGTTTTTGAATGGTGTTAACCACAGAAGAGTGTAAAAAAGTATTTGGGCCACCCATTATGTGAAGCAGAAATTCATATTTCTTTTTATCACTCCACTGGCGAAAACTTGTATCTGATATGTTCAGTCTGATGAATCTTTGCGCACACTGTGATCTATTTTATTAACCTTTTAAAAACGATACATGATAAGTGGGTTATTATCTTCATCTTATTATTTCTGTCATTTTTCAAAAGTTGTCCAGTTTGCAACATGATTCAGTAGAAGAAGAGTAAAGCATTAATCAGAGAGGGAACTGTCATGGATTATTGTATCTCTTTTACTAACAAAGCATCCGACATACTCCTATTTGTCTTGATGATTAACCTTTATTGTGTCAATTCCAACTCTGCCTTCAATCCAATCTTTTTTACATTTAATTTTGGCATGGTCATCAACATATCTTTTTGTTTTCAATGAAGGAACTTGATGGAAGATCATAAATGCGATCGTAATCTTGATGGTATGCTCTGGTCTTCCTTGTGCCTTCTATCAAAAGACTCATTTATAATTGGGTAGACATCTGAAAACATAATGTGTAATCGCTAACATATGTACAAGTGAAAGTCCATCGTTTATCATTTTTATCATGACAGTGTTTTGCTGCATTTTCCCAACAGCACAATGTAAGACTGCTGTTTTCACATGTATTCCCTTTGAAAAAAACTACCCTCACGTGCAGCGTGACTTGATAAAAATGTGTGTTAAAGACGGCTGTTAGTGCCATTTAAAGCAAAAAAATTAAATGTGACGACATGATCGATGAGGCATTTCTTGGGTACCTTGTCTACTCAATAATACAGGGCAACAACTGAATGTAGTCCAAAGACGTAACTTTTCCCAAAAAATGACAGTCTTTATAAATGTGACTTTTAATGACAT